ACACACACACACACACACACACACACACACACACACACACACACCTGTAAGCAGGTATGGGAGCCTTCAGTGACTCGGAAAAGTGCTTTTGGGGAAGAAACTGAACTTAATCTTAGGAAAAAACCTTCTTAATGATTTTTTTATGTTTGTTTTTTCCCCCAGCTATCCAGCAGGAGAAAGAGTGTGTTCAAACTTCATAAGATGGGAATCTCCTTCCACAAGCAGTTTTCAACAATGCCTGAGTGTCTCGGTTTGGGGCTTGTTTTTTTGTAAACCTATGTGCTTGTAGAGATTTTAGGCACCTTCTGATGCTTCACACCCATACTCCTTGGCTAAGATGTCAGGAGTAGCCAATGTTCCCTTACATTCATTTTTAAACTTTACATTGATGCATAAACTCCAGCTGGCAGATGTCCATAATCCCACCATTGATGACCTTTGTGTGTGATGTTCTTCTACCCCCTACAGGATAAGCTACTTTTCACCTTCTACAATGGGTGTCTCCATTGCTCCATAATCTTCATGAAGGGGCATGGGTTTGCAGATTTTCACAGTTTATTTTCATTTCTAATGTGGCAATAAAATAATAAATCAAATCAATACATTAAGGCTCCTGTGGTTCATTCCTAGTGGTCTTCTAAAGAATGGAAGTACCAAGGGTACTCTTTTTAGCCAAACAAAATGGTTGCAGGAAAGACACTTTGGCAGATCATTCACATGGATAGGCTCTCCGCTGTTCAGGTGCAGTGGGTACTGTCTTAGTGATGCTAGGTGCTTTTTCCTTAGAGTTGGAATCATACAATTCGAGACCTTGGAAGAAGAGGTCATGTGGACTAGTCCCCTAATCTCAGAAATGAAATGAAAACATCTGAAGTGATGATCTAAGGTGAATAAGAGCTGGAATTCTAGCTGGGCTGTCTTGCTTTCTCAATGTGCTTTTAAATTTAATGGAAGGAGATGCCTAAGGCTGGTGATAGATGCAGAAGGGCATAGGAAGCACATGCTAGCACACACTGTGCTAAGCACATCACATCTTACTATTGAGCAGAAACTCAGAAATATAATACCTGCTGATGACCCACAGCATTGAACCTCTTGGTCTCCTTGTCCTGAACAAAATTCACTATCTTAATGAATCAAGTATTGGGTATTCATGGTGAGCATAAGTGTTATGGACTAAATTGTTCTCCCCCACCCCCCCAAAAATTCATATGTTGAAGCCCTAACCCCCAATATGACTGGATCTGGGAATAGGGTATTTAGGAGGTAATTAAGGTTAATTGAGGTGCTAAGGGTGGGGCCCTAATCTGATAGAACTGTGGCCTTAAAAGAAGAGGAAGAAGCACCGGAGATCGCTCTCCCTGCCATGTGAGGACACAAGGGAGTGGCCATCTGCAAGACAGGAAGAGAGTTTGCCGCAGAAACTGAGCCTGCAGGACTTTGTTCTGGGACTTCTATCCTTCAGAACTGTGAGAAAATAAATTTCTCTTGTTTAGGCCACCCAGTTTATGGTGCTTTTTTATGGCAACTCAAACTAATACAATAAGGAATACATATAAATTGGCAAGCTCTGATATCTGCTCTTAAACAATACTTTTATCACTTAAAATTTATAAGAACCAATCACCTATAATGCCACCAATTAAAAGTATCAATATTTGAGTGTATGACAATCCAGACTGGTCTATTAATATTCATATATTTTCCTACAAAAAGTGATTATGCTGTCTGTACCTATTTGCAACCTCAATTATTATCTTACCATCTCCTTTCAAGGGCTGATATCCTTAAATAATCACTGGGTTTACAGGAAGTGGAAGCTGTTTTCAATAACATAAATTTCAATAAGTAAAACGGTAGTTGGGTTCACTCTGATTAAATGTCAGTTAGGTAACACAGTCACAAGGCCAGAAGATTTCAGAGTTTGAAGTAACCATGTTGGTCATCAATACCTTACCTCTTGCCTGAAGTAATTATCTGGCAGAGTCACTCAGCTTCTTGCTGTGACAGGCTGCTTACACTGTGCCCAAACCTGCCTTCCTATAGCTTCTATACAATAGTCCTAGGACTGTGTCCTGGAGACCCAAACAGTGTAGTTGTCCCTCTTCAAATATTTGAAGTCAGCTGTTGTATGTCTGCCTCTATATCTCCAGGGCTTCTCCTGATGACATTTCCCCTATCCTCTGAATCCAACTTACATGAATCGGGAACATCCTGGTTGCTGATGTGCTCAAGTTTGCTCATGATGAGATCTCTTTGCATCCTGATTCTGTCATCCAAAACATTTGCTCTCCTTTCAACACTGATACTTGTAAATATGAGAAACATATTGTATATCCATGATAGATTCAGCAACCTCTGTATTTGCATATCATTTAGGCTGCATTTGCACAAGATTAGGATTATTTCAAAGGGCCTGACAGAAAGAATGAATGTTGTCAGGTGACCTAGGATTGGATAATAACCCATTGTTCAGTTGCATCTGTTAATAATAGTTTCATTAACATTGATTCTATCTTGAGCAGTGTGTTAGGCTGAGATGAGAGGTACATGGTGGCAGGTGAAAGATGTAGCTACTGAGTACTCATACAGACAGGAGATGGGAAAAACAATTGCTCACCTAGAGTAGTTTTACTCAGCATTTCTTTTTTTTTTTTTTTAAAGTAGGCTCCATGCCCATTGTGGAGCCCAAAGTGGGGTCTGAACTCAAGATCCTGACCTCAAGATCTGAACTGAGATCCAGAGTGGAATGCTTAACCAACTGAGCCACCCAAGTGCCCCTCAGCATTTCTTAAATATATAATGTGGGGCAACCCTTCTAGTTACTAGATCCACTTACCTGTCTAACCAGAGCCATAGTTTTCCCCCAATAAACTCACTAATAGTAGGGATTGAGATTTAGGGCCCTGAACAAACAAGGGAGGAAAAATATATTTTTCCTCCTCAGTCTCTAAGGGCGAACACCCAGAACACTTACTGGTTCACACTTATCACCTGCTCCCACTTTGAGCCAATGGTTGTGGTTCAGGATCTGCAGGTCCTTCATTGGCTGAACCAGTGGAGGGTGGGGCTTGGGCTACTCTGATTGGATATTCCCATCATCCCATGAATCATAACTACAGGTTCTGAAGCTTTGCATTTTAAAAAACAAAAGAATATTAAAAAAAATTCAAAAGAGTATAGACCAGAAAACAATAGAATTGGACAAATCTGAGCTAGTTAGACTATTCAGTTCTAGGAAGCTTGAAAAAGGCACTATTTTATGAACTTCCTGATTTAGCTCATTTCTGTACTGTGTTTGGATCTTTGGTTATTTATTTAAATGACCTCCACAGTAAGAGTCGTGTTGAAAAAAAGTCTATATGGGGTATTTTGTTTTATGAACAATGTTTCCCCCAGTTTGATGCTTATAATTTATTATCTACAGCAGTAAAGCTGTTTCTCTTACTTAAAAAGTCTTTTCTGTAATGTTACACCAAATTTATTAATATTTGAAGTGGAATTTTTGTATTCTCCTTTATAAATGGGACTTCTCAGAAATCTGTTTAGCACACATTCTTCAATAGGTTTTGCCATCATATTATATTTTCTTGAAATAAGAAGGAAGGATTTTTTTTCATTATCTGGAACTATTTTATTAGCAGTAGAATTACCTGATCCTTGAAGGTTTGATAAGACACACCCATGGAAGCCAGGCCATTTGGGACCATAGCTCATTGATGACCTCTATTTCTTCAATTCTTCTTTGTTTGATTCAATTTCTATAATTGGTTTGGTTTTGTAATTTCCTTGGTTCAAATTTTAAACTGTTTTGCATTCATACATGTAGAAATATGTTTGCATGTATCATAAAAGATTCCAAAAGGGTTGGAGTTTTAATTTTAAAATATTTCCCATTTTATTGATAACTTTTCTCTCCTTAAGGAGGTTTCTTAGAGAATTAGGTTAATATATATTTTTCATCCAATAGCTCTTATATGTATTAATCAATATTAGCATTTAAAGTATTTTTAGGAGCTAAGTATTGATAAGAAAACTTTAAACGTGGTACATGTTTAAGGATTTAAAACTGTATCTGTAAGTATTTTCATTTCTGTATATGTTCTAATTTTGGAGATGGTGGTTTTGCCATTTCTTTCCCAAATCACGGAGAGTTCTTATCAGAACTGAAGACACTGGTTAGTAAGCAGTTCCCTTGATTGTGGGAGCACTCTGGTAGTTATGTCAGAGTTTCTCCTCAAGACATAGTGGCCACCCAGTAGATTGTGGATTAGAGGTGAAATGGACAATTTTTGGCACAGTCATAGTGCTGGAGGTATAACTTTGGTTAGGAAGGTCACATTCTACCAAGGGACTAAAACTGATATTCCACAATTTAGGTGATTTGAGTGATATATTTTTTAAAAGATTTATTTATTTGAGAAAAGAGGAGAAAGAAAGAGGTGGAGAGAGATAGAGAGATAGAGTGCAGTGGGGAGGAGCAGAGGGAGAGGGAAAGAATCTCAAGCAGACACCCTGCTAAGGGGGGTGGTGCTCCACAAGGGGCTAGATTTCACCACCCTGAGATCATGATCTGAGTAGAAATCAAGAGTCAGATGCTGAAACAACTGAGCTAACCAGGCAAACTTGAGTGATATTTTTTTTAAAGTTTTCATTATATAGGCATCATTTAGCTGCTATTCTCAGAAGACATTTTGCTCTTTGTGGCATCTCACAAAGATTTTCTAACTGACATCCCAAAAAGTTTAGAGGGCACCAGAATTCCCTCTCTGATTATCCGATGTGATGTCAAGCTCGAGGGTATGCAATCACAGAGGACACAGCCTGGCATAGAGCCCCACTTCCTTGCATTGCATTTTGTCCAATCAGATATGGAGGTTGCCTGTGACATCAGGAAATGCAGCAACTATAAATGGGCCAGCGCCCCTCAGCAGCTCCCATTGTCCTTCCTTCTGAGCTGTCGGGAAGGCGAGCCCCATATGGCTGAGCCTGGCTGTGAGACCTCCTCTGAGGAAAGCCTGAGCATGGAGGAGCCCAAGGCAGTGGACCCGAAGAGCCTGAAGCAGGAGCAGCCGAGGTGCCAATACTGCCGCTGCCCCAACAGTTTCACCACCTACTTCCCCAGGGTTCTGAAGCAGGTTCACGAGGGCCTGAGCCTCTCGCAGAAGACCGTGAGCACCTTGGATTCGTTCGTCAAGGACATCTTCGAGCACATCGCGGATGAAGCCTCTCGCCTGGCCCGCTCCACCAAGCGCTCCACCATCACCTCCAGGGAGATCCAGACAGCCGTGCGCCTGCTGCTGCCAGGAGAGATTGGCAAGTTCGCCATGTCCGAAGCCAGCAAGGCCATCATCAGGTACACTTTCCGCCAATGAGCTGCCTCAGGACCGCCTGACCACCTTTCAAACCAAAGGCTCTTTTCAGAGCCACCTTACTTGGCACAAAAAGACCTGTAGCTCTAAAAAGCGGGACAAACTCTATAGTTTCTGTTCTTGGGGCATTCTGCGGATATTTAAAGTATTTTTTTCTTCCTCTGCCACTCCCCCTGCTTGTGCACTCTTTCTCTCAGTCTCTCTCCATCAAATAAATAAATAAAATCTAAAAAGAAAAAAAACCCACTGGGTGGCTCAGTGGGTTAAGCATCTGCCTTGGGCTCAGGTCATGATCCCAAGGTCCTGGGATTGAGTCCTGTATTGGGCTCCTTGCTCAGCGGGGAGTCTGCTTCTTCCTCTCCTCCCTGCTCGTGCTCTCTCTTGCTATCTCTATTTCTCCCTCCCACCACCTCCGTCAAATAAATAAATAAAATCTGAAAAAATAAAGTACTCTTACCATGAACAAAACATGATCAGCCCTACGTTAATATATATTTGACTGCAATTTATTCCTTCGGCATTTGTGGACTCTCCTTAACCTTTCCCAAGCAGTCATTTCTGTTAGATATTTCTATAGGTTAGCCTCAATAGGGGTTATTTTTGTTATAATGATATTCACCCTTTTCTCTCTCATCCTCTCATGAGCTTGTGGTGAATTTTCCAGAGGTTTGTTATGGATGAAATGGCGGCAAAGTGCAGAAGCTGATATAAGAATCCACCTGACTTCTATTAGGCGAGTTATTGAAGAGTTTTTTAAATATCTGAAGCAACATCAATCTCCTCTATGCTTTTATAGAAAAAAATATTTTCATATGCCTTTGAAATTTATGTTAACATGATATAATGGGTTCTTACTACAATTTTTAAATGGATTCTGCAATAAATTTCTGCCATAATGTTTTGTACAGTAAATATTGGCAGATATTATTGACATAATAGCTTCGGTGGTTCCTCCTTATTTATTTATTTTTTGTTTGTTTTGTTTTGTTTTATCAGGTCTTTTATTTCAACAGCAGAGAAAGTAGTACTCTCATATTTGTGATAATATCACCCTAGCACTATACAATATTTTTCAGTTTACATATATTTTTACAGGTACTATCTTATCTGGTTTTTAGAAAAATGCTATTATAACGACTTGATTACAGAAGACATTCAGGTCCAGAGAGCATAGAGTCACATTGAATTGGTCATCTTCTTAATCTTCCCCCCGCAACCCAACATTCTTACTACATAAAGATTGAAAATATGGCTCATTCATTCACTCAACAAAATTCTTGGTATCTACTATATGTCTGAAACAGACACTGCAAATATGTCTATGAGTAAAAAACCATGCCTGACTTCAGGTTGCCTTTGCTTAGAGTCTGCTAAGCTTCCTGTTTATTTTTCAAAGTGTAAAGTTTCCCAAGACAAAGCTGTTCTAGATATTTACTCATTTGCAGTGCAATCAGATCAACTAAAACTATTTAGGCTCTTTTATAGTGTTTAAATCTTTTTAAACTTTAATTTCCAAATATTTACAAATACTTTTCGACTGTAATGCTGATAAAAAACTTCCTTGTCACTTTCTGGTTCTATTAAGAAATGATAGTAGCATTTCATCATCAAAGGTGGTATTAAGATTTTGTTTGAGATCTATGTGCTTAGAATAACAATTTTGGTTTTCTAAGCCATTTCAGGTACTTATTAAGTATCAAACATACCCTTTCAGCAGCGTTAGCAACCATTGCGAAAACTATTTTCTCTTGGTTTATTAGAGTAAATTATAGATTTTCCAATATTAAAATTTCCTTAAATTTGTGGAAGGGAACCCCTTCATTGGAGGCACTTTGAAGAAGTATGTAGTAACTCCTGGGTGGCTCAGTCGGTTAAGCGTCTGCCTTCGACTCAGGTCATGATCCCAGGGTCCTGGGATTGAGCCCTGCATCAGGCTCCCTGCTCCACGGGAAGCCTGTTTCTCCCTGTCCCTCTCCCCCTACTTGTGTTCCCTCTCTTGCTGTGTTTCTTTCTCTCTGTCAAATAAATAAAAATTTAAAAATCTTAAAAAAAAGAAGTATGTAGCCCAGAGATTTTTTGTTTCAAAATCCTGTGAGTTTATAAAATAAGAGTATGCTCAATTGAAGTACCTCTTTTTATTGGCAGTCTACTGATGTTAAATCAAGGTCAACCTACTAAGTTGTTCCTTCCCTTCTCCCTTTCTTTATATGCATGCTCTAGAATTTTCATTTTTGCCCAAATGGCCTGTATTTGAATTAGGCTCCACTTGATATCAAAAGTTGTTTGCTTTCAGATGTTTTTCATCACTTTACATTCTTGTCATATTTTAAAATTCACACATAAATTATTTTACAACTTGCTTAACCAATCTTCATGTTCAATTTTATTAAAACTGTTTAATACAGTCATTTTAAGATTTTATTTTCCCTTGCTTGCTACTTCTGCATTGAGGTCTTCCTGATCACCTAATTTAAAGTACTGCTCTTTCCCTCATCATGTATATAAATATATATTTAGTATATATAATAAATATATTTATTTTGTTCTCCATGGAATTATTTTGTTCACAATCTGTTTCCTTTTTTCCTTACTTATTATCTTTGATTTACACCTGGTATGTGAACTTCCTGAAAAGAGAGACCTTGTCTCATTTGCTGTCATATATCAGGAGTGAGAACCATGTATGGCACTTGGTAGGGACTCAGTGTTTGTTGAATAAATATGTGAAGATGGATAAGAGCAGATGTTCTAGGGTCCCAGAAGCAGCAGTGATGGGTTGGGAAAGAAAAGCCTAACTGCAGTAGGTTGAGGAGTGAGTGGTAGATGAGGAATGGAGATAGAAATAGGGTACACCTTCAAAGAAAAGGGATACCAGTCAGTAAGTAGGAAGAGAGTGTTAATGGTATCACAGAAGAGGGTTTTTAAAAAACTTTTTATTGTTATGTTAATCACCATACATTACATCATTAGTTTTTGATGTAGTGTTCCATGATTCATTGTTTGTGCCTAACACCTAGTGCTCCACGCAGAATGTGCCCTCTTTAATACCCATCACCAGGCTAACCCATCCCCCTACCCCCCTCCCCTCTAGAACCCTCAGTTTGTTTCTCAGAGTCCATCGTCTCTCATAGTTAGTCTCCCCCTCCGACTTACTCCCCTTCATTCTTCCCCTCCTGCTAACTTCTTCTTCTCTTTTTTTCTTAACATATATTGCATTATTTGTTTCAGAAGTACAGATCTGTGATTCAACAGACTTGTACAATTCACAGTGCTCACCATAGCACATACCCTCCCCACTGTCTGTTACCCAGCCACCCCATCCCTCCCACCCCCCCACCACTCCAGCAACCCTCAGATTGTTTCCTGAGATTAAGAATTCCTCATATCAGTGAGGTCATATGATACAGGTCTTTCTCTGATTGACTTATTTCACTCAGCATAACACCCTCCAGTTCCATCCACGTTGTTGCAAATGGCAAGATCTCATTCCTTTTGATGGTTGCATAATATTCCATTGTGTATATATACCACTTCTTCTTTATCCATTCATCTGTCGATGGACATCTTGGCTCTTTCCACAGTTTGGCTATTGTGGACATTGCTGCTATAAACATTGGGGTGCAGGTACCCCTTTGGATCCCTACATTTGTATCTTTGTGGTAAATGAAGAGGGTTTTTTTTTTTTTTTAGGATTGGGAGAGATAGGACAATGTCTAGAGGTAGTCAGTAATACTGGCTGAATCTCAGTTAATGGTATTGCTGTTACATTATCATCACCATACCTCTACCATAGGAATTTCCATAAAATACCCCTTTCATAAGAACCCCAGTGCACCAGTTCTCTATTCCTCCACTTGGGCTGCGAGTTCTGCATCAAGATAGCATTCTACCGAGCTCTGTCATTTATACGCTGTGTGGCATTCGGCGGCTTGCTTAATTTCTCTGAAACTTAATTTCCTTTTCTCTTCATTGGAATGACCCACACCTACTTTAACAGGATCAAGAAAGCTAGCTTGGGGCCTCTCTCCAACCCCACTCCTGGCAGTCCTTTAAGAAGGCCCAGCCTCCATGGCCACGGCCCTGTGTTTTGATTTTTACTGCAGAGAGGTGCTGGGCCCTGTCCATTCTGCATGAGTCTTGGGCAATTAAATGCTGCTTCTTAATCAAACTCTGACTGTAGAGTTCTGTGTTCCAGGCGCTGACAACACAAAGCACCAGCAATGGGGAACATTTCAGGAGGACTTACTAGGAGTCAGGTGTCAGGAGCTTTATATGCAGGTATTTTTAATCTAAGAAACACATAAGGCCTCATATATACTAGAAATATTTCCAAGCACTTCAAATGTGGTAACTCATTTAACCCTCTAAGAGTCCCATGTTCCAGACGGGGAGACTAAGGCACAGAAAGATGAAGTAAGTTGCTCAGTGTCAAGGAGCTAGTCAGCAGAAGAGCTAGGATTGGAAACCAGACCGCCTGGCTCTAGGTTTTGGGCCCTCACACCACTAGAGTGTAAAGCTCCTGGCTTCAGCTTGACAACAGTCCAGTGAAGCTGCTACTATTATTCTCCTCCATTTTCCCCTGAGGCTCAGAGAAATTAGGTTACTTTCCTAAAGTCACACAGCTGGTAAGTGGTAGACCAGGTTTGAATGAGGTTTCTCTGACTCGGAAGCTTATAATCATTTGGATGGCATGTAAAGTCAGTTTCAAGCTTTTTGCTACATGTGCATATCACCAATCCACTTGTTTATTGAATAGAGCTATTTTAAGGAACTTATTTTCAAGTTTGAAAACATTTTCCTAAGCCATATATCTGCAACGTCACAGGATAACATGGTGTTCGTATAATTTAAATTCACACTAAGTAAACTGCTTAACTGTAAGAAAAAAATGTGTGTGCCACTTAAAACCATCTCGTGTGCCTGCAGGGGCATGTATACCACACTTGGGGATGTATTGCCTTCCATAACACTTTTCACCCACGGCCCACCCTTCATCCCCAAAG